ATATAACAAAATATGAAAACCAAGTGTCATTTATTTAAAAAAAAATAGCACAAAAAACATATTTTTGTAAAATGATGTGTTAGGTTGTAAATTAAGCCATACAATATTTGGACATTGTCTGGTTGTCAAACATTAGTAGATGATGGTGATAATTTATGTGATGAAATACACATGGTTATTTACTCACCTGTGTGAACCTCAGTGTAACTTCATACATACTTTCACACATACGTTTACATTAAAATGTCAAATGTTATTTACCGAGCAACTTCTTCCAGGACTTGATCAAGGACTTAGCCAGTGAGGTCACTTCATCGTCTGTGCTCTGTTTGCGGATGGCATTGACCGACATCCCGATCCTCGTGGACTGTTTATAAGAAAAGCAGAGGAAATCTCTCGTTAGGGTTAGTCTTGTCTACTAGAAGCGAACACGGCGTGCAGTAAACAAGGTAAACATACCTGCAGAAGCTCCAGGGTCATGGGTATATTCTTTAGTTCCTTTAGTAAGTCCAGTGCACCAACCTAATAAATAAAATACGACTTACAAAAATGCACTTTTTTAATATGCTTTAATAGACACAATAAAATGTATGGGAACTTTAATAACACATGCGCATGCTTACGTAGACGTCAACAGTAAGTTAGTCACTTTGTAGCCTAACTTTTGCAAATTATCCCACTTTTACTCACTTCACTGCCGCGGTCTGGATAAAACCTTGCGTTTAATTTCGTTAATAAAAGTATATAATAAAACAAGAGTCTTTATCCAGTTTGTATTCGCTAAGAAATCAGTTGCATTACTGCCTCCCGCTAACTGACCCCGTGTATTTTTCCGCGCTAACAGTGGCTAATGTTGCTAACTTTCCCGCTAAGCGTTGAGTTTCTTAACCAGTAAACTAAACCACTATATACTGCACACACTTGAACATTAACCACTAAATCTATTCACAAGACAGTTCGCCAGTTTCACCGTAGATGATGAAATTAGTTATTCTTGATATGTAGCGGTTAGCTTGCTATGTATCAATGTAACGTTAGCCTTGTCTAGTACGAGGCAGGGAATTCATTCATGACAAAACACCTCACCCCGTTCTTCTTCTGTGCCATTTTATCCATCTTCTTTGCAATCCGGATGATCTCTTCCTCTTCTTTCTTACCCATTATTTATGATTAGTGGCAAATATTAAATTTAAACTAAGTATATATGTTCAAAACATAGAACCACACACCACTCAACCGGCGGCGAAACCAGCACAGCTCTGGCAGGAAGGCGTTTCTATGAAAAGCCCAGACATCACTAATCAACCCATTGACTACTCATCGACGTAAAGCCCAGGCAACACTAATCGGGAAAAACTAACGCGCATTAAATACGTATCGTTCTGAATTATTGAATTGCTTCAAGCTTATAATTTGAGCCACATGAAAGTTACACACATAAGTGTCTTGTGTTATGCACATTGCTTGTAAAACAGTTTTAATCATATGGTATCGTCCGATTTATGTTGAAAGCACAGTGGTGAGATCCCAGCAACCTCTATGTGCAACACTAGAGTGCGCTCGTGCTTGTTATACAACGATCAACACAGCCGCGGACAAAATATGACATGGAAACAGGGTTTGATGTCGGATCAGGCGGTAATGTGCTTAGATTCTTCTGCCTTGTATTGTCTTCAAGATAAGTTAGTGAGGATATATCACTCTGAATTAATTCTTTGTTGCGCAGTTTAAAGGATTAATGTAACTGGTATATCTGTTGTGTCTTCACATGTTGGGAATGAGGTGGCTGACACACACACACACACACACACACACACACACACACACACACACACACACACACACACACACACACACACACACACACACACACACACACACACACACACACACACACACACACACACAGTCACACACACAAAAAGTAAGATATTAAAGTAAGATATTAGGGGATGTCTCCAGCAAGTACCCATATAGAAAAATGAGAGGCAGAAATTGTGGGAACTACAGAACATGTATCGTATGCGTTAGTCTAATCTATCACGATAGTGAAATATAAGCAGGGAATATTTTTGAAAGTTTTAACATGCATAGCCTATAAGACACTTTTCAAATTTCTTTCTTCTTGTTTGTGTGCAGGGTTGTGGCCTTTTATTGGGGTAGCTGAATTCTCCAGTAGCACCTCAATGCAGTACATGAGATCCACGGGGAGGAGTCAGATCAAGATCCAAGGGGTGGAGATGGGTAGGATTAGGGGTGGGTTTAGGGATTAGGGGTGGGTTTAGGGATCAGGGGGCGGAGATGGGTAGGTTTAGGTATATGTGAGGTGGGAGGAGTTGGATCTGGATCCGACTCCTCCCCGTGGATTTCATGTACTGCATTGAGAACCATCTCGAATATGTGGGCAATTCGTTTTTCAAATGAGCCTTTTGGCCTCCAAATTGTCGTGATCTCGAGCTCAACATGGTGAAATATTTTTGCCTAAAATTCCAGACTATCATGTTGGAAGGTTTGTTGTTGCAACATCATTAGTTAACATTAGAAGGGAGAAATAAGATAATCAAATTACAATTACAATTATATATTACAATTTTTATATTCCAAGGATTCAAATCTCACAGATAAATCAAATGTACTACTTTGCTCTTAATATTACTGATGTAATTTAAAGGCCCACTGAAGTGCCTTGAAACATGCAGCATTGTTCAGTGTGTTGACACAAGAAACAGGAAGACACTGAAACAGAAAGACAGGGCGGGACATATCGAGCAGCTCCTCCCCCCTTTAAAAATAGCCAATAGCATTTAGTTTATATAACAGTTCGACCAGAGCCGTTGAGCTTGGTAAAGCTGCATTTGACAGCTTATGACAGTCACTGTCTAATTCCCCTTTTAGATTTAAAATTAAACTACTAAAGCAAAACAGTGAACATAATCATGCTGGAAATTGTGTAATTTATGTTGGTTCAAGGCACCGGTGTTATCTCTACTCGTAAGTGCTGTTTCTAATGCCGAGTCTGTCTAACCGTTTCTCCTCTTAATCTCCTCCAAATCGTTTTAAAATACAGCATTCTGTGTAGAATTCAAATGGGTTCGATATGTTTTGTGGTCTGTGCCGAATCGAGCATATTCAGAACTTCTACTATAGCCGAAACAAAATTATCAGCAATCATAGCTCTGTGATCATGTCTCTGAACTAGAGCAGACTGTGCGCGCGCTGCATCGGTTCGAGTGACGTTAACTCGAAAGCAGACTTAATTCGCCCCAATGTAAAGCATATTTACACTGTCTAAATCATTCCCTATCCCCTATATAGTGTGCGATGTGCCATTCACCATATAGAAAATAGTAATTGTGTGAACAAGTAATCGATTTTTAATCGCAGCATCAGCATATATTCATATTGTAGGGAGCGGGATGCTTTAAAATCTAGTGAGCATTTGATTTGACAGGAAATCTGATGAGAAGCTGAAGTGCAGAGTGATGTCATCAAAATCGTTGATCCATATTGGCGGAAGTGAGAGACTGTAATTTTTGAAAACTTATATCTTCTAAATGCATATTTTTTCATTGTTTTGGAGCGCTCTAGCTTATTGATAACCTTAAGGCTAACATATTCATACTAAAAGTAAAAAAACTGAAATTTACAGTAAATGCGTTTTGTCACTCTTTGACAGTGCTTTCTTGTTACTAAATAAAAAAATCCCATGTTTGTCATACAAACATCTAATCCCATGTGTGTCCAAGCCTCTAATCCTTAGAGATCAAGACAACGTGATCCGCACATCCAGTAAATCACCTACATGAGCAAAAATATCAAAAATTATAATGGCATTATGGCAAATAATGGCAGAATGTAGGCTACCTTATACTGCTCTGAAACTTTACTCAAGCAGTTATAGAATAGAGTAAGAGCTTGATCAGTGAGTGAAACCGTTCTCCTCAAATCAAACTGTTTGAATTTTGCCTAGAAACACAGCACGGCTAATCTCCACCCCATGCTGATAAGGAAATCCTATAAAACTATCTGAGACATGACAGGAAGGCATTGAGATTACTAGAAACCGCTGAGTATCACTGAACAAACATCAGTGTCTCATTATAAAACAAATTCATAAAAATAAAAGAATGAATAAGTTCGTCAGGCAAGTCATTGCAAGACTAAATTCACGCTTATTAGGCTATGCAGTTCATATCCATATCTGGTGCTGGTTGATTAACATGATCCAAGATTAACATAATCCTAGATGTAACTAGTAGAACTAGTGTTGCCTTGCTGTATATCACAATCACAATATTCATCCTGCTGTGCTTCTGTAGTCACAGTTATGTTCCCACTGAGAGTCACATGCTTTACCAGCTGAGACTTCCTTTCCCTTTATATTCAGCTACAGCATAAAACCTCTCTAATTCACCCCACTCTAATCCCTATTAACAGAGCCCTTAAATCTGCTTATATCTCTGCAAGAAATTAGAAACACCTTCAGCCATCTGCTGGATATCATACTCAGCAGAAAAATACTTCAGGTCTCGTTATGTTTGAGTGAAAACCTCTAAAAAACATTACAATTGAAATTCGATTTGCTGATACAGGCAGAAGAGAGAAAGAAGCAGATATTATATAAACAGTTGAGATCAACCAAAAGGTTTACATGGAGGTTCTTGCAAAACTGAATTACAATGTTTTGTGTGATGTCATTCATTATCACACTTGCTGTTATAATGATTATCAATACTTTATTGTTAGACACCTCGTAGGCTAAATATACAGTTAAATTATTTAATATTTAGCCTACAATTAAATGACTGAAAACACAGATTATACAAATAACCAGTTTTAAAAATATTCTTTTCATATTTATTTTAATATATAGAGGCTTAAACCAATTAAAAAAAAAAAAATCTTGATACTCTCTTTCTCTAAAATGCTGTTTAACCATGACCAAAGATTACACAAATCGACCCTGATGCCTGCCGTCCCAAAATAGCCATGAGCGTTGTTCATAATCTCTTCAGTAGATGGACAACAAACTCGCCAACTCAAACCTCCTGAAAATGTGAAATAAGGTAAGTTGAGAAACTTCCAATGATTTTTATTATTTAAAATAGTAGCATCAAAAACTAGTAGCATATTCCAGATATTTTTTAATGTTTATATTGGTAAATTAACCTGCTAAAGAAAGTGTATGCTAATTATCAAATATTATTCAATTTGGTTTTTGTTTTAAGATACACTGTATGGACTGTTTATGCAATGGCATTTGCAGGAGATGTTTTGAGCTTTATATATTTGCGTTTTTGAATCATGATTTCCAGAACATGTCTTGTGGCTGTTATGCAATGGTTTACTGCACTGAAAAATACATGTGGAGCATCATTTGTCAGTTGAATGAGGGTGTCTGTGCCACACAGCAAGGCAATCTGTATAAAATTGTGTTTTCAGATAGCATACTGTACATTTTAGGACTAGTGACCCGTTTCAGTGTTTGTTCAGTTTTCTGGAGTCCTTTTTCAGATCAACAAACATTGTTCAGGTTGTTTTAATGTGTATATAAAATGTACGTCATTTCTGTTTTATTTCTATTTAGTTTAAGTTGAGTTCAATAAATATTAGCTTAAGCATTTTTTTATTGCATTTCACTTCCATTCTTATACTGGCCATGGAAAGCGACCCTTCCTGGGCAAATTCTTTTAGTCCTTTAGAGAGGCCATTTCATTGCTGACTGCAAGAAGCCATTTTGTTAATGACTGTAATGAAAAATTTAAAACAATACCTAAAAGACGAATGTAGTTGCTGCTGCTAATGAACTACAGACTGATTATTTTAATGCATTTGTTGTTGTAAGAATTGCCCAATAAGACTCCATTTAAAATATCATATCACATAATTTAAAGATTTTGTTTTGTTGTCATCAGCTGAAAGACCCCCAGAGTACACTCATTTACAAAAACACTTGCTTTATGGGTGACACAAAGTGGATGCGGAAGCTATTTCAGGACTGTAGAATCTAATGAGACCTAATGGGAACAATATTATGGCATGTAATGCAGGATTTATGTTGTTATTATGCACAAAAAATAAAAACCTTGTGATGTTGAAAAAAATTCAAATTAAACAGAAAAAAATGTTTTGTTAAATAATAACTGTTGGTTCTTTCATTTTTTTTTTACAGTATCTTTTAATATGAGCACATCACCCATTAATGATGCACCTCATCCTGAGGTGTCCTCGGGGAGCATGCAAACTTTGGTCTCCAGGCCCCTGCCCCCCCACCCAGACCCCATTACCATTACCACTAAGAGGGTATGCTTCTACAAAAGCGGAGACCCTCAGTTCACGGGGCACCGGATGGTCATCAACAGTCGCACTTTTAAGACCTTTGATGCTCTTCTAGATGCCCTCTCCAAAAAAGTGCCTCTGCCATTTGGGGTAAGAACCATCACAACACCAAGGGGAACACATTCTGTTCGTACTCTTGATGATGTGCAGGATGGGGGTGCTTATCTGTGCTCAGATCAGAAGAAAGTCAAGCCTTTTAACTTGGATGAGGTCCATAAGAGACAGGTCCCTTGGAACACTACCAGAGCTGTCAGTGCGGGACGCAGAGCACGCAGAGAACTGGTCCGGCAGATAGCAAAGAAAAATGAAGTGACCACAAGGACAGTAAAAATGGCAGAAAACACTGTGGTGGTGCGGACACCAAAAAGACTAACGGTGTATAAAAACAGGGATCCGAGCATGAAGCGAGTAATTGTAGTTCATAGAAGAACAGCACCAAATTTTGAAACGCTTATGGATTATCTTTCTCAAGTGATGCAGTTCCCAGTTGTGAAGCTTTATACAGAAGATGGCAGAAGAGTAAGTATATAGTATACAAATATTTATAGTATGAAAATAGTATTTTTTTTCTGGCTAAAATTATCACAGACCTCGAATGGTACTGTAATTAGGAGTAAACATTGTCATCTTTTAACATAGCATAAGTCATTGTCTGAACAAAACAAATAATAAAGTTTTTTAAAGTTGGGAATGGTACAATTATATAAAATTTTAAATTAAAATATTTTTGAACTACAAAATAAGAATATATTAATGCATTTTTTTGTATTCTGTAAAATTATGTTTTATATTTTTAGAGTTAGTTACATTCCTATCCATAGAAGTTAAAGATAATAGTTCATATTCCAGAGGTTCTTGGCACATCAGCCATGTTGTTGTAAAATAATAATAAAAAAAGAAGAAAAAATAAAAAACACACACACACACAATGGTGTAATCACTATCTATGGTAGTTTGGATGTAACTCAATGGTTATAATAGCTTGTAAAGATCTGTACACCGTTTTGGACAACATGTGTCAGAGGGTTAAATAAAAGTTGGTGGCAACCAGATAGTTAAGAATCTGAACTTCTAACATTAAGGTTAGTTTAATCTCAGTCTAAGGATTTACTGAAAACACAATCTTGCTCTATTTGAACTGTACCCATAAAAGGTATATAAATAAAGTAAAAAAAAAAAAAAACATTTTATATATATGTATTAAACAATAAATTCTAAAAGTGATTTTAATGTTTTTTGTTAAAACACTCAATTAAGTTTTAGCTCCTATATCTTTGATTAACAGGAAAAAACTAAAATAATGTGATATTATACCATTATGTTTTGGTTTGTACAAACTATTTTAGTACTGTTAAACAACTGTTTTACAATATTTGTCCTGAAATATATTTTAGATAATTTTGTTTTGTTTTGTTTTGCATTATCAAGAATATTAAACCTATTAGTGAGCTGTCAAACTTATGTCTTAATGTTTGGACTAAAAATAAATTAAAAAAAGACACATATTTACTGGAAACATATTACCTTTCTTTTTTATTTATAGGTTGAAGGACTTCCTGCCCTAATTTTGTGCTCTGGGATTGTAGTGGCAGCTGGTAACGAACCCTTCAGAATAGGAAACTACAATCTCCAAGCTCCCACAAAAGTCCAGTCAAGGATATCTGAATCATTGGGTCCAACACAAACTGAGACACTACTACGTAAGCCTAAATTACTTTCTTTTTTTAATATTGATTTATTTAGCACTTTTCTTTAGTGATAAAACGATTTTGATCTTACATTTTGATTTTCAAGTTTAATTGATTATGTTTTTTCTCCCCCCCCCCCCCCCCCCCCCCAAACCATTTCCCATCTTCTACTCCCATTTGTCCATAAGAAGAAAAAAAGATTTCAGCGAGGACTTTTTCAAGATCAAGGAATTTCTCTTTATCTTCTGAGAGGTTCCTTGTAGAGCAGATCAATAAGTCACTAAATGGAAATCTGACAGAGCACAATAGGACAAAGAATGAATCAATGGAGACCGAAGGGAGTCAGCCAGTGGGATCAGATGAGATGGAGACCTGTGACTGTATGGAGGGTGTGGAGGAGAGGAATAACCCCATCATGCCTACCGAAGACGACATTGAAAAATCATTCCGGGTCAATGAGGATGGCAGCATGACAGTGGAGATGAAGGTGCATCTTACTATAAAACAAGAGGAAATTATCCACTGGACAACTACACTGAGTCGCACCTCCATTAATAGCCAGCAGAGAGCAGTGTGCAATTCTAAGCCAGAATCAAGTAAAAACTCATTAGATGTAACCAATGACTCAGGCAAAGAGTCGAATGGACCTCACAGCCTAGATTCAAAAGAAATCAATACATTCGCTAACAAATCTGTAGGATTCATCAAGGAAGAAAGAGAAAATTATGGCAGTGATACATCATCTGAGAAGCCTAAGGCCATCTTTAGAAGGCTGCCCACTCCAGGCCCCAGACAACAAAGAAAAGAGGCCTCAGTCGAAAACATCAAAACCGTTTCAGAGACTGAAGTTCAGGAGAACTCAGTGGGTGCATACTCATACTTGGAGCGAACTGCACAGGGAGAGCTGACTGAAGGTTACTGTGTGGTCAGTCGCAGCAGTAGCAGCAGCACAAGAACCGTGTCAAAACCCGGGAGGAGTGAATCCGGAGAAGTTAAGCAGAAGAAGTCTCACTCCTCCTTCAGATCCTCAGGCATGGCAGAGGTTCTCCAAATACAAAACAATGGAACAATGGGAATAACAGAGACTGTGGTGCACATATATGAATCACAGGGTATGTGTGACAATTACTATGCAAATACACAGGTGGATGTGGACAACAAGCCTGGATACCACACAAAAGCTTTGCCTCAAAGTAAGCCAGGCTCAACAGACTCAGGACCCCATTCGTCAAGTAACGATTGTGATGTAGATCTCACTAGACATTCCACAAGCTCCAACTCCCAGGATGGTAGAAAAACTAATATGCTGTCATTGTCATCTGCCTGTTCAACACCTCCAAAAAAGATAAACAACAATCCATCCATCCTCACTAATGATAAAAAACAAACCTTGGTTGGGTGCACAACTGAAATAAATGCAAATAAAAGTATGCATCCAGCAGCAGCAATGGAACAAGAGTCGGACGATAAAAGCATTGTTGGTAATAAAAATACACCAAAGTCCAAAAAATCAAAGAAAAGTACTTCTTCTGAATCAACTGGGCTTGGGAAAAAAATAAAGGTCAGTGCTCCAGGCTCTTCAAAAGAAATCCAAATTATGTCAGACACAATGAGCCACACTGGATCAGAGAAAAAGACTAGCTCAGCGGAAAGTGACAAACGTGAACACAAAGCTGTAAGAGACAAAAATAAGAAGATTAAAACATTGGATAGTTCTCCGAAGAGTAGAAACTTGAATCTTGATATTGGGAATCAAAGATGGTCAGATACAGAGCTCAAGTTAAAAGATAAAACCATCAAAGGCATCTCCCACAAAGTAAACAAAAATTACAGTGATTCTCAAGGGCCTAAACTAAATAAGAATAGTTTAGACATTCGATCACCAGCCCATCCAGCTCCACTGATAAAGAGGTTACAGAAACAAAGGTCAGTGAATGGTGTCAGATCAAAATCCTCTAAACAAAAACAGGAGTTGAGTGAAAGTGTTTCATTGCCTGTGCTACAGTCCTCTTCCTCTAGTGTAAATCAATATGTTGAAAACTGGCTGAAAAAAATGGAACCAGAATCTGTGCCCTATAATGATGAGACGGACCATCCTGAGATTGTACTAAGGGCGGTATTCCATATAGGGAATGACTCCACTGATGGCTCTGAGATTAAAAGTGACCCTGAAAAAGATAGTGTAGAGGATGAAGACCCTGGTCTAGAACATAATGCTGAAGAGAGGCCAATGTCTCACCCATCTGTACAAATAAGGTGTGAGGGACAGTCAACCGAGCCACAAAGGCCAATAGGCTTTTGTAAGTCGATGCCAGTTTTGACAGTACATTTTGAAGAGGAGGGTCTTGTAAGAATGCACAAGTCATCTGAGAACTTGGTTCCCCCAGATCCTTCTGGGACATCACAAAGTACAGAAATCAGTGTTAGGTCAGGTATGAAACCAGTTTTGCAACAGTTGTGTTTATCTGTTCAGTCCATCAAGCGGGTATTGAGTCAGACCCGCTTAACACCTGTGGAGAAGGAAAAGTCCAGTAGCCTCCCAGACTTCTCATCTCAGGTGGCCTCTGTCTTTGGTTCTCCATCCAGAGCTTTTCTGTCCTTCTTGTCACTGATGACTCTGAGAGATGGCCTTTCAGTCATCTACAAAGATGAATCGCAGGCCAGCAACCCCAACATCTGCCCAGAGGCCCTGCAGGTAATGCAGTCCTTGGAAAAAATATCCAATATTAAAGATGAAGATGAGCTAAAGGCCAGCTTAACCAGTCTTCAAAGTTCAACTTCATCCAAATTAAAACAAAGCTGGAGAGATTTCCAAGAGCAAAATGGCTTTGGAGGGAGTCCACCACTCTCACCAAGACTATCAGAGCAGGAGTTTGCTGTAGAAGTAGACTTAGAAGGAGAAACGGAGGATCAAGACAAACAGAACAATTTTAGTATAGAACAGTTACTGGATGAACTGAACATGCCTGAAGATCTTCACAGAGAGATTTCCTCACTTGTTGAAGGAGAAATAACTTATTTTAATCAAACAGACTTAATCAAAGATGCTGATAACACCAGCGAAATCTCAGGTAAAGAAAAGAAAAATGACGGTGGCTCATTGAGTGGTAGTTTAAAGAAAGCTGCTGACATGGAAGAGGAAAAGGACCATGATGGCCAAGTCAGTGACACAACCAATGATGACATAATCAATGATCCAAAAAATCCTGAGTCTCAGGAACTACATTTAATTCAACCTCATTCCCCTGACTCAGAAACTATAGAAAAGGACCATGGTAATGAAGATTCTGGCATAGCAGTACCCAATCAATCACCTGAGGGTAATGGTAGTGATTCAAGTAAAGCAGAGGTTTTAGAAATGTCTGATAACAACCAGATGAATGCAGAGAACATGCAAGAAAGGATGATGTATGAAGACCCAGAATCTGAAAACAAAGATGCAAAAGAAAATTGTTCCCCCACATCAGAACGAAAGATGATAGATGTAGTTGAAGAAGAAGTTTCTGAGCTCTCTGATGACCAAGACAGTATTTCTGAAAGTGAGGACAATATAATAGAAGACACTGATATTGAGGAGGAGGACATCATCCAGAACATAAAAGAACCTAGTGAACAGTCAGATGCTTCAGAACCTGACGACACAGATGCCAAATGCTTATGTTCAGCATCAGAAACTGAGTGTGTGCCATTTCCAGACAGAGAATTAGCTGAGCTAAATGAGGAAAATCAGTACAGTACAGCTGAGAACTGTGTCAGAGAGCAAGCTGATCATTCTGATTTTGAGGAAACCATTGGTGATGGAGGACTGGAACAAGAAACCAAGTACATCTTATCAGAACGTGAGTCCCTTCACTCAGAGCCCTCAGAGACGTCATTGCCTCACCATGATACAAAGGGTGAATGTAGAGATCAAACATTAGAAACATCTAGTCAAGAAGATGATCAGGTGATGTCTCCAGATGCGGATCATCAAGAAGATTCTACTCCAGAGGTCTCAGAAGGTGAGGATTCTGATCCACACTACAATAACGGCATCCCTCAACAAGGTAGTAATGACGATAATAGAATGACCCCTGAAGCTGAATATGAGAAAACACAACTTGAAGAAGAACATGACATTAATGAGGTGGATAATGAGAGCTCTGAAGTCTGTGAAGAAACCGATCCAGATGCTGAACCAGACTCTTGTACAGTAACAGATCCTGAGGCTGTGGATGAGAATGTGACAGAAAAAAAGTCATGCACTAGTGATTCTGAACCCTACAAAGTTCAGACTTTAGAGAAAGGTAGACCCACCGATAAAAAGGACAGTTCCACTGAAGAGCGCAATTCTGAAGAGGATGAGGAGGATTATTATGGCGGTTTGCTTGATTCTCATAATAATAATGTGAATGGTGTTCAACACTCTATTGCATATACTGATACTAAAGATTCACTGGAAAGGGAGTTATGCAGCAGTACTAGTAAAAGTGAGCACCAGTTTGAGAAGGAAGAGAGTTTGGGAATGGAACATGGATATAATTATCTAATGCATCCAACTGAGATCTCACAAGAGCTGTTAGACTTAATCAATTCAGCTTTGTTGTCCTCTATCCTGACTGTCACATGTGATTCAAATGGTAACCGCAGAATAGAGCCAGACAAATGCAAAATGAGGGAGATATTCATGGCTTGCCAAAAGACAGATGATCAGTACGGTCAAAAACGTCTCCCGAGCCCTAATACATCAGATCTTTCTGATTACAGGCCTGAGACATCTGACAATGGTGGGTACCAGTCGCAGGAGCTTTTTACCGAGAGTGGAGAAGAGGAGGTGGAGAGGTTACGTATCTTTCGAGATATTATAAAACAAAGCACAGAGAAGCCAAAAAGAAAAAACCATGTAAAAGAGAACGGTTTTATGAAATCATCTACATGGAAGACAACAAAACATACTCCCAGTACAAGTTTAAAAAGCAGTAGCCTTGGTTCTTTCCAGGATGCTAAAAGTGCAATACAAGAACCACTTTGCCACAGTAGATCGCCTAGTGATAAAAGTTCACTTAATGTAGAGTCTGTACAGCGCATGGCTTTAAAAGATAATGTGGACTCTGGAGACGGAGTGCTGATTGATAAAGGAAGGTGGCTTCTCAAAGAAAACCACCTCATCCGAAACTCACCTCCTGTGTCCATGGGAATGTATGGGAATGGAGACACCACATCAGCTGACACAGCTCAAGACAACAGGAGTGAGGATTCACCCTGCCTGTATTGTGAGAACCAAGCCTCGCCTCTGGCGGTAATATCCTCTTCAGAGCTGGAGGACATGGCTAAACCCCCTACACCGAAGTGTACATACTTCAATATTTCACATTGCAGTGACTCTGATCCTCTCTTGGATGACAACAGTGTCAACAGTGGAGGGGATGTTAGGAGGAACAAGGAACTTAAGGTATCTCCAATGGGTGAGTCTTCTAAAATGTGGGCAAAGAAAAATGGAAGTATGTCTTCATTCGCATCTGTTGAGTTCAAACTGCCTGATGGAAAAGTTTATCCTCAGGAGGGGTCAGGATCTGGTACTAACAGATCTCAGAATCAAGACAGTCGGACAGTACAAGAAGAGGAGTCGAGGGAGGGGATAAGTCTCAGGTGTGGGCAGCACTGCCCAATACTATAATTCAAAAGGGAAAATGTACCAGATACAAGAGCTTCTGGTATTGTCAGATTTCAGTTATTTATAGAGGTTTATATGGTTAAACTGTTTGAACAGCACATATAATGTAAAGAACTGCAGTAATAAGACTTTAATTTTCACACTTGGGTGCCTGCTGGACATTAAGCTTTCGGTTGTAAACATTTGAGTGTTTTAAACGGTTTTAGGCTTTTTCAAACATGTCTTTTCATTTCACAGGGGCTATATTGCACAATTGAACTGATTTACTTGAATTTATTGAACTTCCTAAGTGGTATTTGTTGTTGCTCTTCCTACTGTGGGCCTGTATCTTACTTGAATAAGATGTAGAGAACAAAAAATCACATTCAGCCCCAAAATATGCTTGATTTATTTATTTTTTTCAGAGATGTAGGGACTCTGGCATACTTATATAATAATAATTATTATTATAAATAAAAAAATAGGTAATGTGCAAGTTTAAAACAACATGCAAAATACCCTTTTTAAAGGGTGATCTGCTGAATGATCTCTCAAGATGCGTTGCCTCACTCTTTGAACCACATTTCAAAGTGGCTTTTGAATGAAATCCCTAAATTATACTTAGAAAAGTGATTGCTGTTACTTTCATTAACGTCATGTGGTTAATAGGAAGTGGGTGAACAATGCTCAGTTTTCTGTTTTGTTTTGGTTTATGCACAAAAATGTCAATCTGGCGAAACAAATATTTATGTTTTGTATATAGTTTGTTATTTTTAATGCAGAATTAATATAGCACAGTATCCTGGGAAAGTGCACAATTAAAAAAATCTGATTGTGCATGATAGCAGCTGTCATCATTATCACATTAAATGTGATTATGTTTTATTGTTTATTGATAACTCAGAGATCAAATAAAATATACATTAAGCACCTCTACAAAGGATCTATCTTTTTAAATGGGATGCAGCAATTACATTGATATAGGTCTTATATATTTTTTTCCTTCAACACAAAAGCTGTTGTTAAATATACATGCAGACGTCCTCAACTGATTGACATAGGCTAATTGAAACTCAATGTATAGCTGCACACAGATTAGATTTAACAAATATATGTATTACAAACAGATCAGATAAACTAGACCAGAAATCACCCAAACACATTAAAAAGAGATGTATATAGGCAGGACTCATTCTGAGGGTTCCTGGATAAGAGGATAAATTAGCTTGGTTCCCACAAAACTGTGTTGTTAAGCAGAGTGGGGGTTAAGGAAAAATTGAACAGCTGAACTTGACTTTAATGTCAGTGTGTGGGAAATGTTACATGCTTGCCATATAATGTGATTGCCTATATCAGAACCTAGACCATTTTGGCTGCTATCCAAAAGGTTTTGATTTTATAATGCAAATGGTGAGCTACTTTTTTTCTTTTTCTTTTTTTTGCAAGAATGGAAAATCATTATTATTCTATTTGGACAAATTTGTTGACATTTAACTTTGAAATAAAAACATGGTATTGAAAAATAAATATTTGTTGATGAGGTTTGTGTCATGGCATTTTTTTGCTTGGATGTGCATGTTGAAATAAATTGTAATTAATAATTATATAATTAATACAAATTGGTACATTGATGGGTATACTGAGTTGTTCATGGGAAACAAAGAAAATTCCACTCATTGCGCTCCATCCCAGAGAATTCCCAGCATCTTGCAGCTGAGCTCCCAAAGTTTCTCAGCCATTTCATTATCTCTAGCAGCTCTGGTGCATCTTGAAGGTCTGCAGTTGCTTTAGAAAATGAGTAAGGAATAGAGAGGATAAACAAAAAAAACAAAAACAAAATTTAATTTGGGCGCCAGTCAATTTATATGTGACGAGGCCTCTGCAACTTTGTTACCTGTAGTAACCGCCACTTTCTGTGTCTAGTTCTGGTTGTACTGCGCAGTAGATGGTAGTTTGTGCTCCCTGCACTGGGGTCTTTGTGAAAGGTCTGACAACTTTCCACATGATTAGAAGTCCGAGATTCATGTGTCTTTTAAGTTCTGTTCGCACAATTCCTGGATGGACTGCATATGCTGTGATACCTGTGTCTGCGGATAAAATTTAATGATAGATCAAAAAGTACTCCCAAATTTGTCCTATTACCCTTTAATTTTCCCATTTATTTAATCTTCCATATTTTTAATGAACACTTACCCTTGAGTTTCTTAGCCAAGGAATGGGTGAAAAGGATGTTGGCCAATTTACTCTGACCATATGCCCTCCTACTGTGGTAATTCCTTTCACTATTGATATCATCAAGTGTTATAGTGCCCCAACTATGAGCCATGGAGGAAAGGTTGATGATTCTTGAGGGGGCGGATTTCTTCAGCAGATCAATCAGCAGGAAGGTTAACAGGAAGTGACCTAAGTGACATCAATTATGTCACTTACATTTATATTTATTATACATTTATGAGTTTGCAGCATTAAATATGCAGCAAGACAGGATTTTAAAGTTGGAACGAGATAGTTAGGATATGCAAAGGCACAATATTGTTCAAACATGCATAATAATGTTAAAAGATAACATTAAAGAAGTGCACAGAGGTCTGAATGAACAATAAATACACTTTACCCAAGTGGTTGACACCAAACTGCATCTCAAAACCATCTGCTGTTTTAGAGTAGGGACACATCATGATCCCAGCATTGTTAATGAGTATGTGGAGTGCTCTCTCCTCTGAAAACAAGAGGGAAATAAAGAGGACTTTAATAATAATTTTTTCTGTAGTCTGTTGAAGGAGGCACACTGGTATTTTTCAAATTTGTTAGATCAAATACACTTAATCAGATTTGAGTGTAACTGTAAAACTCTTACCATTGCTGATTACCTCAGCAAATTCTCTGATTGACTTTGTGTCAGATAAGTTTAGTTTTTTTATCACTATGTTCTGGTTCCCTGAGTCCTCCATGATCTCTTTATGTGCTCTTTCTGCTTTTTCAAGGTCTCTGCAAGCCATTATTATCCTGGCCCCTGTGTAACAAACATGACTTTTATCATTGATGTCCTAGAAAGATAAATTTGTGTACTATACATTTAATATTTTTTAGTTGTTTGGTAACCGCAATAGAGAAGACAAGAATAAGATAAATGTGATACCGCGTTTTGCAAGGTCTCTTGTGGTTTCTTTTCCAATGCCAGTATTTGCTCCAGTGATAATGACTGTTTTGCCATCGAGTCTTGTATTAGATGACCACTGGCCACTGAAAAGTTCTCTGTGTAAAAGCATAAATATAAGGGCAGTGTACAAATGTGAACTTCCTTCAAGAATCATTTATTAACAAGAGATACAACAAATAGTGAATAAGAAAGGGAAATCAAAATAAGTGAATGAGTAAATGACTCAATGAAAAAAAACTGTATATAAACAGTGGCAGATCCTTTCTGGTCTTAATGAGTATGTAAAATAAACAATAACATTTTCAAATATTTCTGAACTAAACCAAAATATGAATCACTGTTGCAGAATAAATAAAAGTTGTGTGATAGCAACTTAGCGTATAGGCTTACATCTTTACTGTTATGCAATTTTAGTTATAACATTTGTACGTTTACTTAAAAAAACAGAAATGATAAACCTACCTCAAAGTGTATATGTTGGACATCTTGCTCAATGCAAATATGCTCTAAAGACAACACATGACTTCCCTCTGGAGTTGTTCACAGAAACGGCAATGAAAGACAATGCATTGTTTAGCATGAGCCACATGCAGAATATTGGTTTGGACTAGAAATTGAACAGACTAATCCAAGGCTAATCAGTTTAAATCACTGATCTACTATTAACTCAGCTTGAATGCATTCCTCACTAGATTCTGGGAACTTGCTGCATGTTTTGAACCTATTTATGTTGAATTTGAACAACCTAAAATATACATCTAAATGCTCAGTAGTGTGGAGTACACAAAACAATTAATTTAGAAATATGAAATTACAAACAGCTGAGTGAGATTATATTCATTCTCTTGTAAAGGAACATATGCAATAGAAAGGGGACACACACACACACACACATGCACGCTATCATTAAAGTTCTATAAAAACCATTCAAACACGATAAGATACAAAAACTTTTTTTAAATCTGTACTGACATGCTGTCTGTGAATTTCCTGTCTGTGTGACAGACAAACACAACATGTGCGCACAGAAAGCCTCTCCACACAGCGCGCCAGGGTAGCCAATGCAGGGCTACCCTGCTTCCCTTGAACGAGCACACCGAGTGCATCGCTTACTCACTCCAGTTCGCACGCACAAATATTCAGTCTCAGATGTCAACACTCACGTCCTCCGAGTCGAAGTACAAGCTCTGCCAGCGAAGGGCGCTGTGGAGGAAGTTCTCATGGCCTGCAGCGAGTCAGGCTTTTACAGCTGCTACTTCCTTATTCCAAAGAAGGATGGCGGCCTCAGGCCCATCCTCGATTCGAGATGTCTGAACCGCGCTTTGATAAGATGGCCGTTCAGAATGCTAACTTTGAAAGATTTACAGATTTTCCCAGGGGATTGGTTTTTATCAGTGGATATGAAGGACACATACTTTCATATCCAGATAGCCCTTCATCACAGACCATTCTTGAGATTCATGTTCGAAGGGGTTGCTTACCAACCTACAGTCCTACCATTTGGCCTGTCCCTAGCTCCTGGGGGCAGTCTTCGACTTTGATTTCGCCGGAGCGCTCTCTAAAAATTCAGAGGCGATTCAGCTGCGTCATTCAGAATCGGGGATCGCCTCCCCCTAAAATTGTTTTAGAAGCTACTGGACCTCATGGCAGAAGCCTCCAGTTGTCCCCTTGGCCTGTTACATAAGCGGCCACTACAACACTGGTTGAAGGCCCGCATCCCAACTCAAGCCTGGCGCGAGGGCCGCCTCATTCTCAGGGTGACCATTGGCTGTATCAAAGCCCTGGTCCCCTGGAAATTGCCCCATCTGTATTAGGGCTGTCACTTTTCGTTCGAAAATCGATTGCACAATCGATCGGACCAACCAACATAAGTTTCGAAAACGAAAATAGGGAATCGATTTTAACGGCCTTTTTTTTATTTTATTTTTACCAAAAATGTGTTTTAGGTGGACAGATCAAT